AAAATAACATATGTGATATATTCTTTATATATAATAATTATAGCAAATATATAATGTTATTGTATTACATACTAATATAATACTATATTATAGTCTTATGTAAAAATACTATATTACATAATATATAAAAACTAATTTATAACATACATACATATAAAAATATATATTTTTCACAAAGAAAATTTTCTGACTGCTCTGCTGAAGACTCCTTATCTTCATTCATTTTTGGCAAATAATACAGAACTGGAAACCTAATTACTTGAGATACACGCCATGAACAGATGTTAACTCAGTTCAGTTAGCAGATCACAAAATATCAGTTTCTATTTTTCACACAAGTGCTTCAATTATAAATATTGTCATCCCAGAATCTCAAAGTTAAGTATATGAAACAACAAAACAAAAGTTAAAGTCCACCTGGCATTCCTCCGACTCTTCTGCAGTCACTGGAAGAATAGAAGGCTTTGCTGGTAATTTCAGTTCATATGACATTATACTCCACCTGAAAGAAACGTAACAGCTTTTAAGTTTCCAGATATTGTTAGTTTTCTTCTTTTCTCCAACATATCAATAAAAAGAAGATTCATTGTCAAACAACAGAATAACTTGTTAATAAAAAAAGCAGCTTAATTTTTAATTGTAAGCTAATTGCATACGGGTGAAATAATTGAGATTAACGGTAATAATTTGCTTTATTGCTCAGATTATTTGTTAGTGATTTGATGATAAGCCTTATTTGTGAACAAATCATGAGACATTCAATGCAGGCAACAAAGGTTTTCCAGCACAACATTCACAATATAAAAGAATTTGTGTGAACTAACTGCAGAAGTCAAAGGAAAATAGACATGTTCCATGTTTTCAAGCTCTAAGGTAACATTAGCTTTTCATCTCAACTAGAGGAGGCAGGCATGAGAACAAAGCAAATGGTGAAGTATCTTCATTGACATCTATTTTTTCCCCAGGTAATGGACAGCACTCTACAGCATAGATAGTATGAAACTGCTAATAGCAACATCCTTCAAAGCTTGCTGAAAAGAACAAGTAATCATTGCAGATGGCCTTGGGTACAAGGCTACTGAAATTAGAGGAAAAAAAAGAAACAGAGCTTTTATTCAGTACAGAAAAAGGCAAACATGATTTAAGCTACAAATTTTTCAGAATGCCCAGGCCAACAATTATTTCTAAGGATCAGTAACAAGCATTTCTCTACATACTTTGCTGTAAATCAATCAATCAAGTAGTCTGCAGGAAAGCTTAAAATAAAAAAGGACTTGTTTCTCCATTAAAAAACCCCTAAAATAAAATCCCCTTTGATGACATTCAAGTGTCTGCAACTACAGCAAGAACAGAAACAGCCATGAGAGAAAGGAACAGAGTAAGAAATACTCCTCTCAAAAACAGTGTTACACCTTTATTGGAATGACATGACCATCATCTTCTTTGACTTTTTTTTTAAATGGGGATTGCTCTTTTGCTTTATGGATGGAAACCACACAAAACTATGAGTGGGAAGATCTCTTGGTTTTGACTAAGAAAATGCCTCAAACAGAAATATTAGTAGTGCATCAAGCCAAAGATCCAGTTAGCCCAGCATTTTGTTCACAGCTGATGTCTCAGGAAATTTTATGAAGGGTGAAAGCACACAATGCAAGTTCTCCCCACATCCAAGGACAGAGAGCTCAGGTGTTTCCTAAATAAAGATGCTACCTTTAATGGTATTTAATAGTGTGCATGGATTCGATAAAACTGCCCAAAATGGTTTTCAATCTATACAATTTCTTAATGCTTACAACTTCTTGTAACAGGCAGTTATGCAGCTTCATCAGTCATGCAATAAACTGTCACCTTTTGTTCATCTTTGGACAACACACTGATTCAACATTTAAAAAGGACTTTGAAGAGCAGTCCCCAGTACTATCTCGGCTTCCCTCGTGATTATGACCTGCACCCTAAAAACCAAAACCACTGAATAGTAAGTGCCATTTAGGCCATCAGAAACCCAAACAAATACAATTTGAATCTCATGGTAAATCATGTATATGCACATTTAGGTTTACCTGTCTAACATTTTCGTGCTGGCTCGTTCTAGCTTCTCCAAAATCTGAGGAAGCTGCGTATCATCATCACAGGATCCTCCCCAACCAAGGACACGAGCAAGGTCATTTCCAGTACCAAGGGGTAACACTCCTAACTGACACTGAAACACAACAGAGGAGTAATCTACTATTGAAAACTAAAAAGAAAAAGTACAAGCTATTATAAATGCTTGTTATGTCAAGGAACAAATGTTAATTATATAGCCGATGTCTAAAGCTTGTAAATCAAATTGTGCAACCCCAATACAACTTGTCCTGTTCACCCTAGTGAAAATTTTCATTTAACAGCAACTATTGAGTTTGGCCTACATACAGAGATACGACAAAGAACCAAGTCAAGGAAAAGTAAGCATACAAAATTAAGTTTAGTCAGTATAGTCAAGGAAAATAAGTATGCACACTTGCCTGTTTGTGCAAGCTGAGCTTATCAATTTCTGACAAGACCCAACCCACGCTTCCATCGCCACCACACACAAGAATCCTGAAGTTGTCAAACTTCCGAAATAACCGCAAACTGCAGAGAAAATGCAGTCTGTTAAAGCCAGTTAACGTCCATTAGCAAGAGAGCAGTTATATTCATTAGCAACTGTTACAAGAACGGCACCTTTATGGTCCTTACTTTATTGTTCTGGGGTACGCAGATACAACCATCTACTTAATAAACCTATCTGCATCCCATCTATTGCTGTATATTCCACTTACACTAACATTTCTGATAAATAACATGCCAAGTTTTACTTAAAAAAAATTCCCTTGATATTGTTTTCAGGATTTTATTAATATTATTTTATTAATTTTATTAGTATTAAAATT